GGAAGGTAATAAGTGTAATTTAATTCAGACATTTCAGCATTTTACTTATCTAAAATAAATAGGTTGCTATTAAATATTGACTATTTTATCAACTGAGAGCATCTAGGAAAACACTTATGATTAGGTTAATTTATGTTATATTTTCTCCTTAACTTGTAAAAAATTAATCAACCATTTTATGGTCTAATTTAGGTGCCTAATTAAAAACAGAGTTCAACACATGCTACACTGTCTTGCTAATAAATCTTGACAGCTTTGTAATGTGATGGTTTGTATTTCAAATTGTTGCATATAATTGTAGATTTTTTATCTTCACCCAGGAGCTTGAAGTGAGTTACATACTTGGTTTAAACTCCAGGACTGAAAAAGTGCAATTACTTCAAAAAGGATTATCCTCAATCAGATCTTATCTCAAATTTCCCTCAGTGAAGACAGAAACAGTATTGCCACCAGGTTTTTAGAAATAGACTAGAAAAATAGGAGAGAAATTGATTTTCTCAGCATTTATTAAATTGAAAATGTAGGAAAAATTACTATTTTCAGCTATTAGCTTTCAAGAGAGATTTTCTGAAGTTACTAGGTTTTAGAAACTAATTCTAAAAAAATCTACTCAAAGTGTTAGTTACAATTGTCCTCTGATAAGTACAAGTTTTTTTATCTTGACTAGGGGCACTGTATTTCTTTTAAATGAATAAATTCACTCCAAGAAATTTTGGAACATCTCTTTTAACCCTATGTCCTCCCACACCTCCCAGCCTTAACAGGGGGGAACGGAAGAGAATAAATCTATTCTCAGTAGGGACATTTGCTATGTTTTCTCACCCTTTATACCTGAGGGATATTTCTGTCATTTTAATGACTTTTTTGACTCTAACTATCTAGCGCAGGCAAAGATACAAACTGCCATAGTGATGTAATTACTCTCTCTTTAGTCATAAACCAACTTTGGACATAGGAACTAGCCTGTTCTGGAGCTGATATTCTTTTAAAGTTAATGCCAAAGTGAGCAATCTGCACTGAAGACCCTGGAGGTACATCAGAAAACTCAAATTCTTTTAAAGCAAACCCAGTTTTGAATTCACATATGACCAATATGGTGTTCTTGGCCACTTAAGCAAGGGAGCATAGCAGAGTGACATTTGGATCAGGACTTCCTGGGTTGGTGTGTTCACTTTGCCATTTTCTAGCTGAGACATCTTGGGCAAGTTGCTTAACCTCTCTGTGCCTGTGTTTCCTCATCTATAAAAGTGCCTACTTCACAGGATTGTAATGAGGATTAAATTCGCTAATCCTATAAAACTTGAAATAGTGCCTGGCACATTGGGAAAACATTCAGTAAGTATTAGCTACCATTATTAAAACATAAGAACACACACACACACACACACTACACTTTTAAAAAAATGTGGCCCCAGCATTAAAGTGTCAGCTTATTTTGTACAATCAAAAACGGAGTCAAAGT